CAGACATTTTTAATTGTAGTACAGATCGGATGATCAACAAAAATGGGGTGCTTTTTGTTTTTATGAATATCTCAAAAACAAAAAATCTGAAGAAACCCACTTTTTCCTAGAACAGCCCCCAAATAATTTATTTGTGTAACGTTTATATTACACTCGATCTGCAATGTCCCACGACTATTAACTAATTTATACTTCAACCACGAGTTAAAATGTCAACTTCTAAGAATAAAAGTTCAAAGTATATAGTGGATAGTGACGAGGAAGCAGGGTTTAAAAAAAAAAAACCAATTAAACAAGTATAACCAGCCTTTTTAACAAAATTATAATAAAAATAATTCGAATTATGAATTCTAATAGTAAAAAAACTTTTAACAAGGGTAAAACAAATATTAAAAAAAGATCACACAAAGTAAAAGAAGAAGAAGAAGAAGAAGAAGAAGAACAATATTCTGAAGAAGAATCTCAACCAACAAAGGTAAGAAGAAGATATTATTTATATATTCTTATTAAATTAAAAATTTATCTGTTTTCTATGGACAAAGAAAATTAAGGAAGATCATGGTAAAAACGAGCAAGGAGAATCTTATTTCAAGGTATATATTATTTATATATTTATGTGTTTCATGTTAGTTCTTAGTTTTTTCATTTACTTTTCAAAAAAATTTTTTTGTTAGTTATCGGAAAAGAAAAGAGTTACGGTTAGAGAGTGGAAAAATATGGTTTTGATAGATATTCGAGAGTTTTTTGAAGTTGATGGAGGAACACCTATGCCAACTAAAAAAGGTATTTTTAATTTAATAATTAAAACAGTAATATTAGTATAAATGTATTTATAAAATATATATACATATTATAAGGTATTTCATTACAATTGGATCAGTGGGATAAGTTGAAATCATTAGTTGATGATATTGATGAGGAAATAAAAAATTTAAAATAAATTAGAGACTTTTTTTTTGAAAAATATATTATTTGGTGTTAGTATTACTAAATATTTTTTTGAATTATTTGATTAATAAAAAATTGATATTATAAATCATAATTGTTATTGTTTTAATATTAACATGTCAATAAATTTATTTGTAAAATAAAATTACAAAATTTATTAATAATTAATTAAAAGATTGTTCATATTTATATAACATTATTTGATTTATACTATAAATAATTGTGTCATGAAAGTAAACCTTTTAACTGTCTTGGATATACCATTGGTTTAACATTTGGATGTGGCTATATACAAAATATAAATATATGAATGATGGGAAATGAATATATTATATATATGTGATATATGAGATTTAAACTTACCACAGCAGTGAATGTCTTGTGATTTAATTTCTAGTCTGGTGTGATGACAATAAATGATCCTTTATTTCCCATCATATCACTTTTGATTGATAAAAAATTAAAAAATCAAATGAATGTATGAATTAATGAATGAATGATACATAAACCATACAATCAGATTTACTTATCAGTAATTAGGTGCTGAAAAAACAGTTATGCATTTACCATTATGTTCTATAACATAACCATTTTCTTTAACTTTATGACTTCTTATTAAATGATCTAAATAACATAATAATCAATAAATATATAATAGTAATAATTGTTATTATCAAATAATTTAATGTCAAAAAAAATCTTCGATGGCTTACCAAGATTATTTCTTTTCAAGAAATTCTTGGTAACATCTGGTCCAAATTGTACACCTAATCTTCTTTTGCTTGGACTTCTTCCTGGTAATATTTGTGAATCTTTTTTGTCAAAAAAAAAAAGAATTTTGATAAATAAAACTTGAAATAACCATAAATTGCATTTTTAATGTTTGTTTCTACCTGACCACAAATTTCACACGTCAAACTTTCATTATTTATTTGTTGACTGTTAAATCTGTTAACTTTTCTTATCTCATCTAATGTGACGTCATCATGACCAACAATCCACTGTGTAGTAAAAGTTTCTACAAAAAGTTCAAACATTTCTTTAGAATATTTGACATTCACCTCTCCCTCAAATCCATACATTTTATTCATATCATCAGTTTCATGATTCCCTCTTGTTAAATGCAACGAATTTGGGTAAAGCCATTGAAAGCAAACAATGTCAATATCACCTCTAAACTAAAATGATCCATGATTAACAAAACCACCATTGAAAAAATACATGTTATTTGTAGATGGTAGACCATTAAGATCAAAGATATTTAATAGATCATAAAATTGTCCTTTTATATAAATTTTTTTAAAAAGAGAGAAAAACATCAATCAATAGTGTAAAAATACATCAAAATATATTAATACATAATGTATTATCATAAATATCATACCATGAATATCTCCACAAACTGTGATTTTAGAATCTTTTGGAATATCGATGTCTACTAATGATGAGACTTTTAACATCAAATTTCTTACCTGATAAAATAATCTATTGATTAAAGTGATTGATTAATGAAACATTTAATTTATTAATAGAGGTGATAGAAATAATAATGATACCTTATATGCATATTTTTGATGAATTTTCTTTGATCTTTGAAATAATCTAACATTTCTTTGACAAATTCTAATGTGATTTTATCATTTTGTAATTTAGGTCCATCATATGATGATTCTACAAGTGTCATTGCAAATCAAAATTATCAGATATATAATTATTAGATAATGACTTCATGTTCAAATAAATATTTATACACAAAAACTAAATATTACTTATTGAGTCCAAATCCAATGAATCTAGTATAGATTTATGATCTACCTGTAGAATTAAAATAAAAAAAACCCCGAAATTAATTTAATCAAAAAATTTTAAAATTAATTACTTAAATAATTAAATCCATAAATACCAAAATAGCTTTTCAAATTTCTTTTTTTTTTTTACAATTTTTTCACATTTTTTTAAACCAGCTTCTGCATTTGTATTACTTGGAATCTTTTATTAACCTATCAAAATATTTTTATACAATGACGAATTATTAATATCATTTCAAAATGAAAAAAATTGCATGATATTCCACTAACTATTCAAAAATCTCAAAGGGCATTTCTAATCTACAAAGTTCCATGTTTGCTACTGCTCTTCTATAGTGCTCCTATACCAACAAAGAAGAATAAAAAATAAAAAATGAATATTAACATAATACTGTAATATTTTAAATATTTCTTTTATAATGCCTATATTATAAATACCTTTGTATATGTTGGATCAATTTTTATTGCTAATTCTGCATATTTGTATGTTTCAGTTTTGATATAAGAAAAAGATCAATTTGCATAATAAGCCACAACATTGGGGTTTAAATCAATGACCTCTGTATATTTAGTTATTGCAGCTTCATATTTTTTTCTGATATTAAATTTAATCAATTTACTTGTCAATATTTATATGTAATTCTTATCAAACAAGCAAAAATTCTTGTATATATAAATATAATATAACCTTGAAATAATTTATTTGCTTTAGTTTTTTTTCTTCTGAAATAACAATGATTTCAATTCCATCTTTTATTTTACTATCACTATCATTCATATTTATCTATACTTTTTAATTGATAGATGGCATTTACTTCAGTTCGGGAAAATTTTTTAATGTTTAACCTTTTATAGAGAGGCTCTACTTATTATAATTGGTATGGCAATGATCTTCAAAGTGTATTTCAATAAGTTGAGCATTTTTATTAATTGATGATATAGGCATGCATTTACAATGAGTTGAAAATAGGGTTGGATTGAGTTGTATATCATGTGGTCCAGGATGTAACACATTCATTCTCCAACTGAAATTTTTTTATATAAAAGAAATTTTTGTTCTTAGATATGTTCCAGTACGCATGTCACGCGCATCGTGCGCACGTAATTTTTGGAATCATGAACATGTACATATATATAGTAATAAAATGTAACACAAAATAAATTTTTTTTTAAAACAGGAAGATGATGAAAATGAAGATGATGTCAGTGAAGAAGTGAAAATGATGATAGTGATGTATATACGCCTGAATCAGAGACTAGTATTAATGATTTGTTAGTTTGGTTTTTTTAATAATAATAAAAAAGATTATACATGTTGTGTGTATGAAGATTGAAACTTTGTTCTATATACACTGCCCTCCAAAAAATATTCAGACGATGTTGTTCAATAAGGTTATTTAATACACTCTGAGGGATTTGAGACCATTCTTCTTTAATTGCAACCTCCAATTCTGTTGCATTTTTTGGATAATTTTCTTGTTTTTTCAGTCTCTGTTCCAATTCACTCCATAAATGCTCAATTGGATTAAGATCAGGTGATTGAGATGGCAAATCAGTCAATACATTTATTTTCTTTTCTTTATCCAATTTTGTACATTCCTTGCTGTATGTACTGGTGCATTGTCATCTTGAAATTTGTAACCTCTACTACAAAATTGTTTAATTCGTTTTTGAAGTAATTCTTTACATATAATGTTTAATGACAATGATTTTTCTGACAACAACAATAATTTTCCTGAGTTTGAAATTAATCAATTTAACTCAGATGTAATTAATGAGTTTATTACAGATGTTCAATATAATCTAGACTATCAACATGCTTTAAATTAATAGAACAAGAAAACGATGATGACAATGATGACAATGACTCTATTTTAGATAATATAACAAATATTTGAAAGTCTATCTTCAATTAATAATATTTGCTCACATCCTGCAATGGAAAATATATCTTTAAGTAATAAAAGTAAAACAACATCTGCGGTTTGGAATTTTTATGTATAAAAAATGTAATAGTCAAAATGAAGTTATAAGAATTGTTTGTAGTCTATGTTAAAAAAATTATGCAAAAAAATCATCAACATGACCACTTATGGATCATTTAACAAAAGAACATAGTAATATTCTTTCTACAACAAATCAATTACAAAAACCATATAAAGAAAATGATAATAAAAGAATAAAAGAATGTATAGATGCTGTTATTAATTTTATTGTTGTAGGAAATTTTCCGTTTTTGAACCAGCTCATATAAAAAGTCATATTTGGTTTAAAGAATTATGCAATATCTTTGATTCACGGTATATCTTACCAACATGTCAATCTTTACAAAATCAAATTTATCAAAGATTTGAAAATCATCATAATTTAATTGCAAAAGAATTATCAGAGCTTACAGTAAAAGTATTGCATGTATATATATATATTATATCAAAAATCGTTGTTAAAATTAACCGCTCATATTTAAAGTATGTGATCAACAACGGTTATTAAAATTGACCAATCAGACCTTAGTATATGATCGACAACTCGCGGTTTTAAACCACGGTCTAACACGGTTTTTAAACCGAACCGAACCGACTCAACCATTTAACATCCCTAGTGTGATATCCCTTTAATTGAGTTAATTTAATTTTCACATGTGAATTTCAGACTTGCAAATATCAATTTATTATGAATTCATCAGTGTGTAAATCTGATTTGGAACATTAAAAAGTGGGGAAGTGTGCACCAAAAATTACATGTGCACTAAGAATTTAAAATTTTAATGTGCACAGAAAAGAGTTGTATAACTTTTGGTATTACTTTTTAATTTAACTTAATTCTTGTTGTTATAACATGAAGCATCACTCTGATGTGCTTCATTATAATTAAAGCCTGAATAATGTTCCATGAAACACGTGGATGATTGAAATAATGATGGTGGCCGAAACTAACCCATAGTTTAGGCATTTAGGCAATTTCGGTTTAGGCCTAGTTTCGCCCATGAAGTTTTTCTGGCGAAATTGGCAAAACTTAAAAATTGCCTAAACCGTGGGCGAA